CATCCCTCAAGAACTGTATGTATAAGATAACCTAGCATCCTATCAAAAAGTCTCTTTTTACAAAATAAGTGTTTCTTTGAAGTAGCTGTCATACATAAAGTATAAGGACAATTTTATCTCTCTTTATATAATCAGCATATTGTTGCATAAACTTACACACTTTTGGTACTGAAGTAAAAATTGCTTTCAGTATAGTATCTAAAAACACAGGTAATTAGAAAAAGCTCATAGGATAGATACAAAAAACTCTTTTAGAAACATTTATGATGGTCTCCAGAACGCGCATCCCTTCAATCACTTGAAAAGCATCTAACCTCCATGTAAAGCAAACTGTGGAAATACTTAAATGTGCTAGGCCCTGTTGTAATCTATAAAGCAGCCATCACTCCAACACTTAAGGTCTCACTTACTATGCTTTTATATATAAACCCTTTATTTGTATTTATTAATTCTATTCATTCTTTTTCTGACTAGATTGACCATTCACAAATAAGTTAGCACATAACAGAAAACAAGACAACTATATTTATAGAAGTCTACTTACTTCTTAAACTTCAGCATACTCCATACCTACTAAACATTGCAACACATAAGAAATAGTGCAGTTAAACATAGGAATAGCAGGCATGCCATGTTTCATATCCAATCCCATGTCAGGCACTGTTAATTAATTATGGTAGTTATTCTACTCTTGAGGTGTTCTTAAAGATCTTCTCATTACAGTAGTCAATCTACTGCAACAAGAAAAAAAGAAGATAAAGTAGACATTTTAACCTCTGAGTAGGATACAGAAAGGAGTAGCCAAACCATCACTCTTATTTCAATGAATAAGGGGAAATGAACAAATCCACTAGTCAGGTTTATGGAGACATCAATACCATTTTCCACCTATGTTACAAGGTCAGAAAGTTGTTCCATATATTTTGGTCTATTCTTTCCTCTCTCTAAAGAAGGGCAACATTCTTTATTTTCATCATGGCAATAACTGGAAGCCTATGTCTTCATCTATGAGTCAATATGATCATTTTGCTACACACACTCACAGAGACCTTGCTGGACCAACTGCAGACACTACTCGCCAGGACAGGTTACTGTAATTTAAATATTTAATTTTAGATTGTGTAGATTTTCTGGGTATATTATAATAAAACACCCCAAATTATATGATTTAAAATAAGAGGAGATTATTATGTCAGAACTATGAAGATAAAAGTGCAAAGCCAACGCCACCAGCTCATGGGTCTTTTGAAGCTGTAGTATTATTCTTTCCTCCTCATTTCTCCTGTTATGTTGGCAGTCACAAGCCATTCACTGCATAATGCCATTTGCTATCATATGAAATCCCTCGTATCTATGTCTGTAGCCATTTCCTTTTAAAGGAGACAGAAATATGAAATGAAGATTAGACTGTACCTGAGTGTGACATCAGAACATCTCATTATTTGTGTCTCAACCCCACTTGCAAAGAAGTTAACATTCACGGGTACTTAGTATTAGACATTTACCTCATTTTATACTTCTTAATAGAAAAATACATAGTCAAAGGAAAAATTAATTAGAAAAAACATCCATCTTCAACCATCAATTTATAGTAGATATACAATAGAGACAAATCTATTAAAGTTAATCAGAAATATAAAGGGGAAGCTCCACTAAGGAAACTTGGGAATGAAAAATAAGATTGTTATTCAGTACACCTAAATGGGTTGACAACTTAATCTTCATCTATTAAAACATAATACCAAATTTCCAGCCGATAGAATTGTACAATAATATGCCTCAATTGGTTTTAAGACACTTTGTTAAGGTAGTAACAAACAATGAAGATAAACCTGTGTATGGCATGCTATATTCCTTTCTCTGAGGATAAGGGTTTTCTACTCTGAGATAATATAGTCTACTGCTGCATACTAGACAAATGAAAAGTGCAGGAGGAACGGCTGTGCACTAGCTACCTTTTCATTTCTTTGATTAAAAACATCTATGAAAGGGGCTATATTCGTTACTTTTCTATTGCTGTGATAACACTACGATCCAGGCAATTTATAAAAGTGTTTATGTTAGCTTACTGTTTCAGATGGTTAGAATCCAAGATAGCAGAGACAGCTCTGGTGGCAGGAAGAATTGCTGTGATTACCTTTGATAAATAAAGGAACTGCTTTGGGCCTATACCAGAGGTATGGGGAAGAGAGCTAGGTGGGTAAAATGCTGAATGCTGGGAGAAAAGAGGTGGAGTTAGAGAGATGCCATATAATGCCCCTGGAGACAGACCCCAGAACTTTAGTAGGTAATCCACAGCCGCATGGCCATACACTGATTAATAGAAATGGGGTAAATTAATATGTAAGAGTTAGCCAATAAGTATCTAGAGCTAATGGGCCAAGCAGTGATTTAACGCATACAGTTTCTGTGTGATTATTTCAGGTCAAAGCTAGCCGGGTGGCTGGGAACTAATTAGTGGCTTCCCGTCCTACAACCATAGCCACCGAAGAAAAAGTTTATGTTGGCTAACTGTTCCAGAAGGCTAGATATTCATATTGGCAGGCCACCAGTGCAGGAAGCTAAAGGACCATATCTCAACTGTACACAGAAAGTACTGCAAGTGTAGTGAAGCCAGAAACCTTGAAAGTCTGGTCCCCAGTGATGTACTTCCTCCAAAAAGTCTCCATACCTTAAAACTTTCCTAACCCAACTTCCCAAAGAGCACCACCAACTAGGTACCAAATGAGCCAATACATGGGCCAATAGGTGACATTTCTCTTTCATATGACAATAGCTTGGTGGACAGAGTGAATTTAAATGACCACTGTGAAAACAAACAAACAAATAAAACAAACAAACAAACAAATAAATAAATAACCACCACTGTGACTGGCACAAATGACATGAGCCTCCTGATGCTGGTCCCAGGGTTTATGAATTTAATGACTGTCTGTGTCTATGCTGATGATTTACCATTATGTGGACTACTTCAACCTGGCTACTTCTTATTTTCCATTTTACATCTTGACTTGCAGATTTTAAAAGCAAGACAAAGAGAGAGAGAGAGAGAGAGAGAGAGAGAGAGAGAGAGAGAGTGAGAGAGAGAGAGAAGAAAAAACCTCTCAAACACTGGAACTGGAACTTTTCTTAAAGGTAAAATTACATAGATTTTCTCCAATTTTGTTTCTTCCTACTGACCATACTAGTATTATGGCACATACCACACTAAATTAAATGTCTGTTTACCTTCACTCTCTTTTATTGCTACTAGTGGCTTCCCATGTGCTAACCACACAGAAATTGTTCAATAATAGTCAAAACTATCATTACTCGTAAAAATGGTCAGTTGGATGTTTGAAATATGCTTTCTTCATAAGAATTTTGGTAAATAGTACTTAGAAATTCATGTGTTTCATATTTCACATTACAAAATATTTAAAAATTAAAGTGTATTATAAGGGATCTCTGCTGGCCATAATTCAGACTTAAAAAATTATATATGTGTATGTGATAATATCTACCTATATCACAGATACATAAATGATAGATGGATGTAGAGATAGATAGATCATAGATAGACAGATAGATTGATTGATTGATAAAGCAGGAGGATGGCTAAATAGATAATGAAGAGATAAACAGATTTTACACAAATAGAAAGTCAGTACAGGTTTATTCCCAAAGGAGGTTAATCTGTTGTCAAGTGGAACTTATTGAATTGTATCTAAGGCAGAGAAGCAGATTTAAGCCTCTAGGACCTTAAGTGTTCATGAACTACCCAATATTAATAGTAATATCATTTTCAGAAAGTCATTAGATCATATCAAAAATTAGACAATGAGAAGAAAATCAGGTTTCATGCTCTAACAAGCACAGGAACCCTCCATAGCTGTGGTTAATCTTTTCAACTTGATGGGCTTCAGACTCATTCAGAAACCAACTTCCCAGTATGTCGGTAAGGGAGTTTCTGACCTGGCTAATTGAGGTGGGAAGACCTCACCTAACTATGGACATTAGTATCGATCCAGTGGGTCCAAAACTGAATAAAAGAGAAAAATTCCTGCATTTCCTCTCTGCTCCCTGACCCCGGATGTAATGTGACCAGTTGGCTAAAGATCCTGCTACCATGACTTTCCTCACTGTGACGACTGTACCCTTGAACTTCGTTCGAGTCAAAATAAATACTTCCGCCTTCTTCAGATTGCTTTGATCAGTGTTTCATAGCGGCCAGAAGAAAGGCACCTAATACGAAAGTCAGCACACTGATAGGACCTGTCCAGGACGTCAATTCTTGCCATTTATGACATAATTAGCAAAATTAGGGTTTATCGTTTCATCTGTTTTTAATAAGCATATTTGAATGTTAGTATTAGATTCAAAAATGTGTTTTTGCACTCTGGGATAAATCTCATCCCTGAAGATCACTTGAACTAATTTATTGCCAACAACAACACGGGACTGGCGGTGCTTTTAAGAGATGTAGGGCTGTTTACAGTGCAAAGAGCAGGTCCACCAGGCAGGTGTCCTGTAGGACCACTACAGAGCCTCTTCTAGGAATGCTAGGGGGACTTTGAAGGGCTTACGAAAACTCTGACTAGAGTCTTGATTTCGAGTAAAGGAATAAACCGTAAAGGGAGGAGGAGCAAAAAAAACAGAGGTCTGAATCCCGCGCCAGGATGGCAGTGCGACCCAACTCAGCTTCTAAACAGGTTTTATACTCCTCCTTACTCCTTCCGAACTCCGGGCAGTTGAGAACTGCAGCTCCCACAATTCAACGCGGCGAGGCGGGGCGACAGCGACTGTTTTCAGGCCAGTAGGCTCGCGGCGTTTCGGTTTGGGTGAAAGACAAACTCTGACCTTTCCCGGAGGCTTCTCCCCTGCGAAGCCTGGTTTGCTGGGCCTTCATGAGTAGGGAGGCGACAATTTCCTCACCGGTCTGAGAGGACTCCACTCCGCGGCCTCATGGTAGATGGAGTCCCTGATGTGGTGGGAGACGTAGTGCCTCCAGCTGCCTCGGAGCCGACGGACTACACTTCCCAGGAGGTTGCGGGTCGGCCGGCGGCGAGGGGGCGGTGCCTCCCGTCAGTACAGTCATCTCTCTGCTTGTTCGGCGGGACTGATGGCTGGGGAGATGACGATCTTGGGTCGGTATCCCAGGGTCCCTGCTGCTCTGACAGTCGACGGGTTGGTTTGAGGAGGTCGGGGCGGGCAGGGGTTGGTTGTCTCACCTCCTGAGCCCAGGTCACACAGCCGAAGTGAACCTGGAAAAGTGGCTGAGGCTGGTGGGGGCCGGTGGGGGCGGGGCGCCCGGAGACGGGGTCCGGCTGCTGGAGCCTTTTGGGGGACCTGCCGCCAGCCACAGGTCTGAGGGACCCGGGTCTAGGAATGCGTACTTTGTAAAAGCCCGCGGTCTTGAGTTAATAGCTGGATTCGGTTCTCCGTGGAGGCTGCGAGAACCTCTTGGGCGGCACTTGGGATGCTGAGTTGAGACGGGTTTCTGGTCCCTGTGCGGTGTATCAGGTTTCTCTTTCAAACTTACCGTTTCGAAATGCATTCCCTTGCTAGTGGTGTTGAAATGCTTTTAGGATTTGTTTGTAAGCTAGAAGACACAAATGGGTAGGCTCTTGTTCTGCTATGAGCCAGGCATTGATTTGAAGGAGCTAGCAATTACCAATGTCAAGCACTACAAGTTGATGTTCTGGTTTCTTAGCATGAGTCTGAGTGAGAGCAGGTGTATCACCTGTAAAATCAAGTAAGAGATTCATTCTGAATTCAGAGCGATGTCCTTATTCGCATTGGGGTGCAATATGCGTGACGTTTGTATTTGATCTTTTTGCTTTAATTGGTATTTGCTAAGCCTCTACTCTTGCAGTGGAGTACAGCGGTGAACAAACTTGTCTTCAGGTAACTTCCATGATGTTGCTATCGGGGTTAGCAGTTAAATACTTCTTTAAATACTACCTCTTTGAGAAGTATGTCCTTAGTTCCTATTTAAATATGAAAAAACGCTGGGACTCAATTATGAGGTATCAATAATGCCTAAGCAGTTTTTAAAATCAGTGCATCAACTTATTTATTTTATCCTTTTAAATGGGTAAAGACCATAATCAAAGAGGTTAATCTTATAACACCAAAGCTTTTGCTGTGAGAATTTCATGATGGAATTTTATTTTTACTAATGCAGATAGAACTACTTATGAAACTGTCACTCTCAATGGCAATAGGTCAAGAAAAGTGGGTTGTAACCTTAGCTTTCGCTTCACATTTGTGGTATTTCCATTCAGCAACAGCATAATTATTAATGAAATACCTTTACTTTTTACTCCTTTATTTTCTTATAATGAATTATACAGAAATACAGTTGTGAGGACTTTCAGTTGATTTTCTTTTCTATTTTTAATTGTTGCCCACTGGAATATGAAAGACTTAATTCTAAAAGAAGTAGTTATTGACCCTTAAAGTAAAATATTTTTGAATCAAGAGTGTTATTGAAGAGATGTTACTGCAGTAACAGGATATAGCAGTAGCTTGATAAAGAGGTGTCTTTTGCTTGGTCTGTTTTCAGGTTCAGCTGTTTTGACTCTCCTGTTGGCTGGCTACTTGGCACAGCAGTATTTACCACTGCCTACTCCCAAAGTGATTGGCATTGACCTGGGTACCACCTATTGTTCCGTTGGTGTGTTTTTTCCTGGAACAGGAAAAGTAAAGGTGATTCCGGATGAAAACGGGCACGTCAGCATCCCCAGCATGGTGTCCTTTACTGATGGGGACATATATGTGGGATATGACAGCCTAGAGCTGGCAGATGCAAATCCTCAAAACACAATATATGATGCTAAAAGGTTCATAGGAAAGATTTTCACCCCGGAAGAGCTGGAGGCCGAAATCGGCAGATACCCATTTAAGGTATGAAGTTAATCTAAAATCTGTGTCAGTTTGATTATTACACTGTTTCAGTTAGTGCTTTGGCTTCACGTTGCACATCATTGTATCTCAACGGGGTTTATCTATAAGGGAGTTACATGCTCTCACTGAGAAATTTCTCAGCAGGGGCGGGGTGAATCAATTCAGTGGTTCCCTGTCAGGGAACTGGGCCTTGCTGTGAGCATATTCTGCCATCCTCACAATATCCAGTTAGTTCTTTCAAGATATTTTAGGAAGGATAATGAAGCCTCATGTGCTATGGATGAATATTTTCTATATATGTACCTGTTTGTACACATATAACATTTGTACACTAGTTTTGCTGTTTTCTGACATATTTGAAATACAGCAGTATGTCACAGGCATTAAGCTGTGCATCTTACTATCTTTAATGACTGTAGAAATGCTATTACATAATTGATCTATTTCATTGTAAGATATCAATGTAAGTATCTCTTACATTGCTTTAGTTTCTTGATATGACATTAATGTTTGAAATTCCGTAGCATTCACATATTCTTTGTGTTTGTCAGAAACTGCCTGCCTTGTAGAATTGATGAGGTGTGTGTGTGTGTGTTGTGTGTGTGTTTAAGGAATTTTATTTATATTCCCTAATTGTACTCTGGCATGTTGCATGCTCTTAACCATTATTTTTTGTTGAATGTATCTTCAGTAGGTGGTAAGATTATATTGACTTACTGAGGTAGGTCTTGCTACATAGCCCAGATTGTTGTCGAACATGAAAACTTTACCACCATGCCCAGTTTATTTTGTATTTGCCAATCCACAAATGAGAAATAGCATATTGTATTAAGTGTCCTTCCTCTGATTTCCAGTAAAGTTATATTTAGTGGTGTTTTGTTTGTTTATTTTTGTGTTATGTTGGTTTTTGCTTTTGTGTTTGTTTTTGAAGCAATATCTCAATTTGTAGACTTGTCTGGCCTAGAACTCACAGAGATCTGCCTGCCTCTGCGTCAGGCATTTTTATTTCATTTAATGATGCATTTCTTCTTTTCTGTCCTGTTTTGACAAGTTTCACTTTTTCCTAATGACAATAAAATACCTTTTTGTGTGTTTTTATAATTTTTTTCACTTTATCACTTTTATGCTGCATAATTTGTTACTTCCTGTCAGCATATTGAGTATTCATGAAATCTCAGCTTTGAAGAGTGGCTGTTTCTATTGGTAATCAGTAGGAACTTTCAAACTTTCTCTTGGTTTGCTGTTTTGATTTTTCTTTTCCTTTTGGGTTTCTACTTTAGTGCTTTTATGTATTTATATTCCAGTGACTTCTCTTAAAGCATGTAATTTTTGTTTTTGTTTATCCGGTGTGGGACTTTTATTCCAAGTTAGAGGTGGTATTCTAATGAATTAGCCTCGCTAGACAGCTGTGTCATCACAGCTTACTGAACATTCTTGCAGCCTTTGTGAGTTTACTTTCTAGAGTTTTCTCTCTTGGGGCTTTAATTCCCTGCACTCAATGACTAACTGACAATATGAAATGCAAACCAGAGACAACCACTCTGTAAGTTGTTGAAGAGGAGCATGATGAAGTTGGCTCTGGTCTTCTCACTCTTGCCCAGAATGGGTCTCGTCCAGCTCTTCGTTGCATAGTTTCTCTGGCCTTTATTCACTTAGTGGCCATCCTGATTGTTAGGTGTTACAAGCATTGCAGTGTTTTTGTTCAGATTATTTTACTAAGTAATGTCCCCAAAGTGTAATATTAATGGTAATAACTATTAGAATATGTTGGCAAGAACCTGTAAAGTGTTTTGTCTAAGTGTAAAGGTCTTAAGACCCACTGGGGGTCTTGAAACATACAGTTCCCAATAACATGAGTCTCATTATTCATTCTTCCAATAAGTATGTAGCGAGAGTATTCTAGGTTCCTGTTAAATTCTTGGCTTTCATTTTGTTATTATTGAAAACCATAACATAAATTTATTGTATAAATTTTGAAGTATTGTTGTCTGAGGTTTCTGTCCTGCCCAGTTCCCCAACCATTTAGTCCCAAAAGAAATCACACAGTAGTCTACATTAGTTATAAACTGATTGGCTCATTAGCTCAGGCTTCTTATTAACTCTTATAACTTACATTAGCCCGTTATTCTTATCTGTTTTAGCCACATGGCTCAGTACCTTTTTCAGTGGCGTAGTCACATCTTGCTTCTTCTGTGTCTGGAAAGGACTGCAGAGCGAGCTTCCCTCTTCCCAGAATTCTTCTGTTCTCATTGACCCGCCTCTACTTTCTGCCTGGTTGTCCTGCCTATACTTCCTGCCTGACTACTGGTCAAAACATAATTGACAGAATATAGACAATTGTCCTGCACCAAAGTATCACATTAAGTAAATTCTAATATGGAAAAATGTACTGGGTAAATTATAGTGGATTGTACTAGTTTATAAGGCTTTTGTTGAATAAATCCAAATGTACATGTGAAAATATATATATATATATATGTGTGTGTGTGTATGTTTACATGCATACCTCTATGTTCTGTTTTTTCAAATTTTATTTACAGGTTTTACATAGAAATGGAATGGCTGAGTTTTCTGTAACAAGTAATGAAACCATCATCGTTTCTCCAGAATATGTTGGCTCTCAATTGTTGCTAAAACTGAAAAAAATGGCAGAAGAATACCTCGGAATGCCAGTTGCCAATGCTGTCATTTCTGTACCAGCAGAATTTGACCTAAAGCAGAGAAATTCAACAATTCAAGCCGCCAACCTTGCCGGTAATAGCATCCTTGAGTGATGTGTGTTTTTGTCAGGGTTTTGTTAGGACATAATCTTCTGCAGCAGTATTGACCATGTTGTAAATCAACTCTGGCCACATAAACTATATGGCAGGTGAATTAGCTGTTGGTTTATATACATTTGCAAATAATTATGAACTCTATGGTACAATATTGAATGTTTATATTATGGGGCGGGGCACAGTTTGGTACTGGGGATGTAGATCGCTTTCTAGAGGAGATAAGCACTGGCCTGGGTTCCAGGACACACACATCCTCAAAAAATGTAAAACACACACACACACACACACACACACACACACACACACACAAAAGGCCAGGTGGTGGTGGCATACACCTGTAATCCCAACACTTGGATAGCAGAGGCAGGTGGATCTCTGTGAATTTGAAGCAAGCCAAGTCTACAGCTACCAGGAAACCCTGTCTTGAAGTGCCAAAACAAAAGTTTAAAAACTGTACAAAAATAAAGCTATTCAGATACATTACAAAGCCTAGAAGAGAATATGAACACTTCTGTACTTCTGATGAAAGAAATGATCTCTTTGTTACTAAGGTTAATATGGTTCTAGACTTTTCAAGATGAAAAGAATATAACACTGTCCTACAAATCCTATTTTTGTGGTGCATGTTTACAGCTAGATCAAAGCACAGAATAAGCATAAAGTGTAATGTTTTATTATGGGAACTCCTTATACTTATCCTTACGTCTTCACTAATAGTAGCTGTACCCTCCTCTCCCAATGGATGGCAATCAGCGGTGTCCTCGGTCATTCCCATTCACTTCATGGGGTTAATTCCTGTCGTGTGCACAGCTACTGGTGCAGACTTCATCAGAAAGTAACATGAGTGGAAGAATAAAGGGCCGGGGGGTAGTCAGAGCATAGGGGTACCACATAGAATGATCAGGCGTGCCTCACTGAAGGGCAACACTTAAGTGTCTCTGACCAGAGGACTTTGTACATGACCAGAGTAGAGCTACCAAATTTTATAACTAAAGGGAAGGGCAATATGATCTTTGGTGGAATTTTTCAGAGTTTGAAATATTGGTGGGGCCCCGGAAGTGTAGTGTCATATTTTACAGAGAACACTTTAAAGGTGGAGTTGGTTAAAAGCAGGAATCTTACTCAGGGTAAAGGGATCTTTTGAACAAGATCAGCTTATCACATTTCCACAACTCTGTATTTCCAAATCCATTCTCAATAGTAGAAAAGGCTGGAAGAGCTTTTCCTTGGATGTTAATGAAGTTTCAAGTCACTAAACTTGGGCTTCTCTTTTTCCCATGTTGTACTCTTTACGACTAATTTTAATTACCCCAGTGAGAAGAACCTCTGGTTTCATCCCACTGTCTTCCTCCCACTGCTTTTGCCGCTGTTGGTGAAGCTCACGCTAAATAAGAAACAGGCATATTGTTAGTACAAGCTGAGCAGAATGTTTTCCTTTCATGGGTTTCAGGCCTGAAGATCTTGAGAGTGATCAACGAACCAACGGCAGCAGCTATGGCCTACGGTCTGCACAAGGTGGATGTCTTCTATGTATTGGTCATCGACCTGGGAGGAGGAACCCTTGATGTGTCATTACTGAATAAACAAGGAGGGATGTTTCTCACCCGAGCCATGTCTGGTAAGAACAACATGGAATTAGAGAGGCTCAAGCCTGTTTCCCTTACATGCCTAGCATTTAGCATGTTGGTGTGGTTTTCAGAATATTTTGTGATTTTCTATGTGGTGTTGCTCCTGTCTTTGTAGTAAAGATCACAGTTAACTGTCAAAATAAAATGACCAGGCTTCCAATAAGCCAGATAAGGGGTTCCTTCAGGGCTTTTTTGCAAAGGTGAAAGGAGCATTAAGGAATAAAGCTTTCAGCCGAAGAGTTTCGGATTATTTAATCTTCTTGTGCGTCATGAGGTAAATGTCCTGAGAAATGCAGTTTTAATATCACTGAAGAACTAATAAGATCTTTTATTTAAAATCACTTTTCAAGATTTTCTCTTTGTGCTTTTTAGGTTAAAAATGTAAGGGTGTTTCGATTGAATAGTAGAATTGCTCTAACGTATGTATTGTTCACTCTCTTAACTAGATTCGTTAGAGCCAGTTTATACATACTTTGAGTTTATATTATGCTTTCCTTTCCCATAGAACTATTTCTATTGAGCTCTTAATCATTAACGATTAAATTAAAAATGTATGTTTATTATAAAATAAATGTTAATTGTAAAAATCACTTTCTTCTGTTGAGAATAATGACAGTGTTTCAAATAACTGCTTTTTTAAAAAAAATTATTTATAAGTGGCCTGACATTCTTCTCCAGTGTGGTCGAGGTACTTCCTTTTACATCAGTCAGAATTTCTAACCTTGCTGGCACTGTGCACCAACAGTACATGATAGCCAGAGAGGCAGTAAGAGTGGGTATAAAGGGGTTTCCAGAGTCTGACCTTAATGCAATTCTTCTTAGGCAACATTCATGCTAAGAAAATCATAATATTTTACAGGATTCCTTATTCTTGGAATATGTTAACATATAGGTGATACGTTTTATGCATGTATACATAACAAAGTTTTTAATTGTTCTTCTAGGAAACAATAAACTTGGAGGACAAGACTTCAATCAGAGGCTGCTTCAGTATTTATATAAACAGATCTATCAGACATATGGCTTCCTCCCTTCCAGGAAAGAGGAAATCCATAGATTAAGACAAGCCGTGGAAATGGTCAAATTAAATCTGACGGTTCACCAGTCTGCTCAGGTATCAGTTTTACTCAGTGTAGAGGAAGAGGACAGCCAGACACCTCAGGATGGTGACTCTCCTCTGCCAAAAGAGCCCCTTTCCCCAGGACACAGTCACCATGTGAACAGAGTGCTTAGACCGGGCCTTTCTGAAGGCAAGAGTGGGAAAAGCCAGGTGTTGTTTGAGACAGAAATCTCACGCCAGCTCTTTGACACCCTCAATGAAGATCTCTTTCAGAAAATCCTCGTGCCTATTCAGCAAGTATTAAAAGAAGGCCTCCTAGACAAGACCGAAATCGATGAGGTGGTTCTAGTCGGGGGCTCGACTCGTATCCCGCGGATCCGCCAGGTCATTCAAGAGTTCTTTGGAAAAGACCCCAACACGTCTGTGGACCCTGACCTAGCAGTGGTGACAGGAGTGGCCATCCAGGCGGGGATCGATGGAGGCTCTTGGCCTCTCCAAGTCAGTGCTTTAGAAATCCCCAATAAGCATTTACAGAAAACCAATTTCAACTGAGCTCTGAGGGTGTGCTGGTAACTGATCTTGCCTAATGATTTTGATGATCTGCATTGTGAAGCCTCCTTCAGAAAAGAAGGACATGAACTAGCTCTCAGATCATCCTGAGGACATTTAGACAGGAACATTTTTATGTAATGTTGCATTTTAGAATTGAATGTGACCAGTTGAGTCCTGTTTGTGTTGGAGAACTGTCAGTTTATGAAGTGACAGCATGGAGGTTAGCCACTTTTCTGGATCCTGGAAGTAGGTAGCCATTTGCACTCACTACTTTGGCAGTATCTCATACTCTCAGGAGCATTTGTTAGGAGCTACTGTGGGCCATGGTGCAACTACAGATGAAAGCAACAGTTTTCAGAGTCAGTTGCACTGCTGGCTCTACCAGGCAGGCTTCCTCCATCTAAAAAATTCTGAGGTGGGTTGACATCTGAATTATCAATTGCTATAAGCTGTGATTGTGTCATGGCCCATAATAGCTCATGATACATGCTCCTGACATACATAGTGCCATTTATAAGCCCTCCAGTTTGTACGAATTTTTATTACTAGGGGCTGATAATTCATTACTTGGTTATCAAATATAACTCCTAATTTGGTCTATACTTGAAGGACTGTTGATGTCAGGAATTTACATTGGCCTGGACATAGCAGTATTAATACACTGCATAGATAGTATTCATCAACTACCATATAAATTGTACTTTAAAAATTTCTCTTTCTATGTGTTATATTCTCCTAGTCTACAGATTTTAATGTCTTTAAAAGACCAGCTTTTCTTCCTAAAATGGCTACAGATTGATTCAGTCTTTCCTGCCAGATAATAGAAATTCCTGGTTCTTTTTTCTTCAATGTGACATTCTCTGCTTTTATTTTCACAGTTCTGCTTGGTAAGAAAACGGGACTTATCCGTTGCCTTTTCAAAGTGCTATCACAATGAAGCTGCGTTACTCTCTGTTTTTGCTATCCAGGAATTTTGCACAGATCAGATATTGTAGTGATTATTTATATTTGGCTGTGTTATTTTGTTTGCTTTTTTTCCCCAGGACCAAACCTAGAAGTACAAGAATATAATCCAACTACTTTGGAAACTGAGGCAGGGGCCTCACAACAAGTTCAAGGCCTGTCTGGGCTACCAGGAAGTTCTAGGCCAGCCTGGGCAACTTAGGGAGACCCTGTCCGTATCTCAAAAGCAAAAGTGAAAGAGGGAGGGAGAAGGCAGGGGACATAGAAGAGAGCAAACACAAGGCAGATGGCCACAGGGACCAATGGAGAAAATATCGTAGTTTGACTTTGTGTTGGCCATGTTACTGGAAGATATATAATTTTTTGCTTTAATGAAGGCATATAGGAATTATATCCTGGCTGTCTTATTAATATAAAGTGTATTCTGTTTATCAGTGTTGTAATAACTAAAGAAGAGAACTAAGAAAGTTTCACTAAGATGAAGCACTTTGGCTTCCCAGGGTGCCATGTTGAAAGGTGGTATTTCTTTATAGCTTGATGAAGAAAAATGTTCTTCAATAGTGAAGTTGCTGTTAGCTATCAGTCATTTTTGTGCACCAAAAGTGTGCAGTAGATAGGCAGGAAAACACAAGATGTGCAGTAGATAGGCTGGAAAAAAAATAAAGATGCTTTATTTTAGAAATAAGAGAGAAAATGCCAAAGACAAGCCCTTAAGAGATTCTGAAAATATTCAAGACTGAATCTCTGATTCTAGATTACAAAGTATCTGTGTGAACATGTCTGAGACTCAAGTCTTCAAGTTATCCTACAGTCCCCACGCGTGCTTTTCACTTTCTCGTAAGCCATTTAGGGTTACAAAGAGCAAACTTGAATATATTAGATATTTGGTAGAACTCAAGACATGAGCAAGAACAATTTGCAGAATGGAACAGATAAGTAATACTAAAATGGGAAGGCAGATACTGTCCGTGAAAACCTAGACTAGTGCTGTTGGAGTCGGGGCTGAGCAGTTAGAGTCCTCTTCTCTAGTATAGTGCAATGTTAAAAACAGTGGAGGAAATGCCTTCAATCCTATGTTACAGAGTTGCGTAGACCTAATTTTGACGTCAGTGGAGTTTATTCAAAAGGTACAAATGCACCCTAACAGGGACTATTGGTTAAAATCCAAGATCATTTTTTCATAAAATGAACCTTTTAGTTGTATATTTGGCTGCTGGTTTTTGAAGTCTGTGACTTTAAGAATACTGAGTAATGAGTAATTTATTTTGTATCCATGTTTTGGTACTGTGTCCTCACTCAAGCCACTAACTTAACAGATACCACTGTGTATGATATGAACTCAGTATGACAGTTACTGTATAAAACAGATTGTGCCTCTTAAATATGTGTGTACAGGTAATTCACATTTTGCTGTAAACGCATACCATTTTGCAGTTTTGTTTGTGAATTGTTTATTTTTCACCCATGGCTGGGGTGAAGTATATTTTTGATGTGTATAAATACAGATAGATATGTACAAACTTTACAGCAAGTGATCTAATTCCCGAAGTGTCACATCTTCCTGCATCCTATACGCCTCATGGGATTTCTCCTACATTTCCCTCATATCTCTAATTTAGAAGAGCTAGTTCTTATATGAACAGTTTCTTTAGAATTCTGGTTAACAAGCCATGACTTCTAACTAATGGAGTCAAGTGCTGACTTGATCCATTTAAAAAGTCTACAAACCACCCAACTGGAATCTTTCACTTGGCAGTTAATACTTCATAATTTTTAATAAAGTTTGTGTCAATCTTTTGGAAAAAAATTATTTTTTGTCTTAAAAAATTTATTTCATTGTGTTTCAAAAATAAGACCCTGGTGCCTGAGTGGATAGATAATTCAATCATTGAGAATACTTGTTGTTCTTGCAGAAGACCCAGGCTCAATTCCCAGCACCAGATAGTGGCTCACAACCTTCTGTAACTTTAGTTTCAGAGCATCAGTGTTGTAGGAGGGCCTGCTTGTTTGTCTCGGTCACCCGGAAAGCTTAACCCCAAAATAACCACACAGAAACTATATTAATTAAATCACGACTTGGCCCATTACTTCTGGTTTCTTATTGCTTAATTATTACATCTAAATTTGACCCATTTCTATTAATCTGTATTGCCACGTGGCCGTGGCTTACCGGGTAAAATTCCCAGTGTCTGTCTCCAGCACATCCATGATGTCTCCCTGACTCTGCTTTCTTCCTCCCAGAATTTAGTTCTGTCTTCTCCATCTACCTAAGTTCTGCCTTATCAGACCAAGGCAGTTTCTTTATTCATTAACCAATACAAGTAACACACAGAGGGGACTCCCACATCACATCAGACACCCACCTCTGACTTGCAAGTTATACGTAGAACATTGTGTAGGAAGGAGAAAGGGGAAATTAAAAAAAGTTGGTAGATATTAAGAATATTTTTTAAATACTCTTAAAAGAAAAATATCATTGGGATTTGAATACTTCATATTTTTAGAATATTTTAAACATAAAATGTTGCTTCTACCACGGAAACAAGCAATAGGCTTCTTAAAATATAATTATATCCAAAACATGGTAAGCCTTACAAGTCAACAGTTTTCTCCTGCATATATACTGACACTATCTCATTGAAGTTGATACAACCCAAAACTTAATATAATATTGTTTTACTCAAAGGCAAGTAATAAATATAAAACATCATTTTAAACAGATATTAAGATTCAATAAGTATAGAATTACAAATCAATGCTTCTTTTTTATAAAAGCTTCTGAGTCCCCTTTTCATGAATTGGACAGTTGCTCATAAGTATACTTAAGTGTATAAGTCTTTACAGCATATGAATCTAACATGCATGGTTACATGCCATAAAGACTGTGATAGTTACGTTATACAAAGTTGATTAACACCAGCCACTTGACTTTGAGTCATTCTTTTCTAGCAAGTGACACCAACTCAAGGAATCAAACTAAGAGTATAGCCAAAGCATGATGAAAGAGTAGGCATTGATGAATAAATCCAGAAAAGTTGCATCTAGATCACGGAGGCGGGTAGGAGGCAGGAAGTCAGGGGTTGATTTAATTGAGCAAGTGAATGCAGATAGAACCATGGATAATGTAAAGAAAGATGGTTTGAACCGAACTAAAGATTGAGCAGAGACCAGGATGGCTGTAAACTTCTGACACTTAGCTGGTACATGCACCAGCTCATGGCCAGAGACTTGATTCTGAGCATCTCTCACTGCCATTATTTTTAAATATTAATACACTACAGTCATTTCATTTAGGATAGTCAACATACAACTAAAACAGTTCATTTCTTGGTCCTTGAGTATTTGTCTAGTTTCTGTTATCATTTGAAAAAAAAGTCCTTTCCATCAAATTCTGTGGCACCTTGAATCCCATAATTCTAGAGTCTAGAACAGCCATCCTGCAATGTGAAGAAAATGGAGTTAGATAAACCGTAATTGATTTTTCCACCTCACCCTTACAAAGGGAAATTTTAAGAATTATTTCAGTTCAAAATACAGATACTACTTATTACAAGTAACAATTTTATAGCATTCCTCAATCATTAAAATATTTCTCTAATTATTTTGGAAAGTATTTTCTTTATGTTTAGGGAGAATATTTTACTTTGTGCGTAGGGTAAAAACCCTTGCCCTGTGATAAGTAGTTCTATATATCCAATATCAACCTGCCAAGAATTTTTGTTTACTAAGAATATTTACTTGCCTGAATCAATGATAGATTGTAATCTGTTAGCCATTATCAAGATGGTAAAATGAGAAAACTTCTTCCTAATTGTGTTCAGCACCAAGCTATCAGTCTTAAAATTAATAGAGGCTGTTACTTCAAAATGAGAATTTTGTTTTATGAAGCAAATCAAAAGAAAGACAGACCAGCTGTCATTGTCCAACTCTGACCAAAGGAAAAAATAAAATAATTTCAGTGGCCATCTTTATAATTACCACTTCCAATTCTAATTTCCAGATACTCTTATTCATTCTTATGTTACACCCCATTTATTCTCTTATTTAAAAGTGTTCGTTATCTCAGTTCAATCAGATATTGACCAGGTTCTGGGGATAGAAAAGTAGACGAAAGAGATCAAAAACAAGCAAACAAAAAAGAGGCGCGTGAAATTGCTCAACAGTTAAGATTACTCACTCAACTTACAGACGACCTGAATTTAATTGGACGTGGTTAGATTCCGGGCACCCACACCCCAGTTCACAACCATCTGTAGCTATGGTCCCAAGGGATCTGACACCCTCCAAGGGCACTGCATGTATGTGATGCACAGACATGCACATAGGCAAAGAAAAAGCAAACAAATGACGCTCATACACATAAAAATGAAAAGATAAATGAAAAAAATTAAAAATATCTGTAGAGATAACATTCTTGAGAGAAAGAAAGGAGTACAGGTTCTTGGGCATAAAATAAATAAATAGAAAACCACAGCAAATTCAACTCCCTGTATCAGTTTCTTTCTTCATGACTGTTCTAATGCTGTGAAGAGTCACCATGACCAAGGTATCTTATTTAAGAAACAAAAAAATCATTATTTGGAGTTTGCTTACAATTTCAGAGTATTTGTCCGTGATCATCTTGGTGGGGAGTGTGGTGGCAGATAGGTCAGCATGGTACTGAGAGCTTACATCTGATCCCTGCCTGGGAAGGAATTCCCACACAGCGCTAGATTCCTCACATTGTGCTTTCCCATCTGGCTGGGAGGAAATTCCTCTACTGGGGTAAAGGTATATTAACTTTGCAGAAAGCTAAATAAAGTGGCATTCGGCTATCTCTTGACGAATGACCCAGGTCTCTTTGTGTGTGTGTGTTTTATTTCCATCTCCAGGACTTTGCCCAAGCTCATGGTCAGTACGGAGGCATGCGGACCGTACCAAGGAAGGGTGTCACAGAACCGGGTGGGACAATTTGTGCCAAGGACTCAAGGCAGGAGCCTTCTCTGGTGATACTTTGTTTGGCTATAAGAAATAAAGCTTGCCTGAAGATCAGAGTGACGAGCTAAGCCACTAGTTAGCCATAGAGGCCAGCCAGTGGTGCCACACACCTTTAATCCCAGCACTCAAGAGGCAGACAGATCTCTGTGAGTTCAAGGCCATCCTGGGCTACACGAAATTGAGCCAGGCTAAAAGAGAAACAGAGTCAGGTGGTGGTGGCTCTCACCTTTAATCCCAGTACTTGGGAGACAAAGGCCTTTAATCCCAGCATTAGAGAGTTAGAGACTGGAAGGGATATGGCTGGGAGGAGAGAGGACAGGAGCACATTGCATTCAGTCTGAGGACTCCTGAAGATAGGATTTTGCCCACTTTGGTCTGATCGATTATTCAGTAGAGGTAAAAGGTCTCTCTGGTGGCTGGCTCCCTTACTTCTCTGATCTTTCAACATTTACCCTGATATCTGACTTCAGATTTCTATTATGAAGAGCAATTAGAAATCATGCAACAGCCTTCCTGGCAGAGCAGCAGAATATCAGAAAGTGGAAGAACTCATAAGAGAGTAAGAGACCTGAACAATGAGGCAAAGCACTTCATGGGAGAGAGATTGCCATTGTCAAGTGAGTGACAAGTTGGGTAAAGTGCAGGTTGAATGTTGGCCGCTGGTGAACTCCATAAGGCATAGCCAACAGGTGGCAAATCAAAGGCCAGTTAGAAGGGAGTCCAGCAATGACAAAAGGAGAAGAAATATAGAAGGAAGTGCTGACAATTGTCCTTAAGGATCTTCTGTAAAGAGAACAGGAAAACGAGGTGCTAAGGTTTCTGAATAAACCAGTCCCTTTCATGTAAATAGTTTTGGCATACTATGTATTTCTCACTATTGAAAACAGTCAAATGTAAGCATATTCACATTTAATAAACAAAAATCTCCCTGAATATAACCTGATTTGGGACTTGAAAAATGCTACTGCCAAAGGTCATACAGTCAACAGACTGAATATTGTTCAAAGATGATCTGATTGTCATGTGATGTGGGATTCCTGTCTGTATGCTGTGTATATGCTTTATTGCCATTGGCTAATAAAGGTCCTACTTTGGTCTGGGACAGGAAAGAATAGAGCTAGGTGGGAAAACTAGATTGAATGCTGGGAGAAAGAAGGTGGAGTCAGAGAGATGCCAAGTAGCTACCAGAAGAGACAAACACTGGAATTTTGCTGAAAAGCCACAATATTTTGGTGATTCACAGAGTAATAAAAATTGGTTAATTCAAGATATAAGAACTAACCAATAAGAAATCTGAGTTAATAGGTCAAGCAGTGTGGTAATTAATACAGTTCTGTGCAATTATTTTGGATTTGGGTGGCAAAGGAACAAATAAGCAGTCTACAGAAACAGTCATGGAATTCATATGTGTAGGAAAGGCAAGACCAGACAGAATCTGCAGGGATGTGTCAAAAGTGCAATTGTGACTGTTTGGAGGCTATTTGAGCATCTTAACAGGCTGGGAAGAGCCAAGGTAGGGATGCTTAAATGTAAGAAGTGAAACGGGTGCTTAATAAAGTAAGGTCCAAGAAAAGGCTGGGAGAGCTAGGACCAAAAAATCAAACTGGAAGAATGAGCAGGTAGTAAGGGGATAGGCATGCAGAAGAGCATAGGGGGCAAAAAGATGACAGTCAGACAGGAAAGGGAGATAACTTTCCCACACAACATATGGAATGGGCTCTGAAAACAAGGTCATCCATCAAACAGGGCCATCTATCAAAACCAAGGCCCTGTGGACAATAACTTGTGGTTTATGACTGTTTTGGTTGAACAGTACCATCTGTTTGTAGGATT